AATATTCGAAAAGAAAACTTAAATAATAAACCACTCTGTCTAATTTAAAATTTCTCTCTTATTTAATTTATTTGTTAAGAAAATAATTGATTTTCAAGCAAAAAAAAAAATTCCCGCCAAATTTTGACTATCAATAATTTATCTACAATTCACAGGTTCAATGCCGTTAGAAGTGTCACATAATAATGGCAAGCAAATGGCGAGTGAGAATATCTGCGAAATTCGCGCGACACGAAGCCCCTAACTCTAACTGTTAACTGCAATGTGCATAAACGAAAATATTATTATGAAATATATAACATATTTTTGCAGAAAATTATAACGCACCTTGAACGCTTCTAGTTTTTCTTATTCAAGTTGTGTTATTTTATAAAATGTAGTCCCTTTGGCCTATCGACGCTTTTTAATTATTTAGTGAATAGCTATTTTGGTTTTAGAGCGGTTGGTCGTTTTTAAAATGTGTATAATTATGTTTAATTGATTTTTGTTAAATTCTATCACTATTTTATTTGACAATAAAAATTTGATTTGTATTAAATTACCGCTTTGGTAATAAATTAATTTTACTTAATTTAATTTTACACAATTTTATTGATTAAAATTTTTTATTTATTACTTAATTTTTTTTATTATAATTATTACTTAAAACACACACAGAGTATTAACTATCTTTGCTTGCAAAGAATATACTAAAATTATTTGCTATTAATTCAACAAAATAATTTTTTTTCAATTTCCGCTATTTTTCTTTTTTTTCTTCTTATTTTCTTTTGCTCTACATTTAAAACGCTGAGAACTTAACGTTCAACCGGCCAGGTGAGCTGAAACGAACTAGTACTGGAAATTTTTGAAGAAATGTGAATATTATTGTAGCAGAGTTTCCCGTTGTGTGTTTATATATATGGTGAATAAGAAAAAACACAAAAGAAGGACTCGACAAAACGGTGTATAAAGGTGAGTAAAAATTTTGGTATTTAGAATATTTAAAAATTAAAATAATATTCAATACATATTTTTTTATAATAATTATTTAATTAACAAATTTATTTTTGGTTAAAAATTTTACCAATTATGTAAATAATTTTTTTTAACAAATTTATTTATTTTTGATAAAAAATTTTAATAATTTTCTTAAATTATATTGTTTTAATGAAAGGTTATCGAAAACATTTTTTAATTTTATTCGTTTAATTGACAAATTAGTATAGACAAAATATTTAACTAAGCCTATTTTTAAAAACTAAAAAAATATTCAATATACATTTTTGTTATAATAATTATTTAATTAACAATTTTTTTTAACAAATTTATTTTTGGTTAAAAGTTTTACCAATTATGTAAATAATTTTCTAGTTTGTTTTTTAAATTATTTATTTTTGAAAAAAATTTTAATAATTTTAAATTTAATATAATGTTTTTAACACATTACATTTTTTAATTGCATTCATTTAATCGACAAATTAGTTTAGGCAAAATAATTAATTGAGCCTATTTCATTAACGTTCCGTAGCCCTATATTATCCCAAGCCCGAAACTGTCAAAACGGTATCTGTCAGGGTATTCACATAATATTTCTATATACGCCATAAGTGACTATCTGCCTAAATATGTAGCCAAAAACTTACTGTAAAAAAGAAATTTCAAGTCCGTATAACATTTAAAACTCTAGTTCTTGAAGGACATTTAAGATGTGGCTGAAATTATTTTACTAGCTCACGCGCATTAAATTTGCTTAGAAAGTGAAATTGCTTGACTAGAATCGAAAGTATCTCAAAAAATATGACTATCGTCATATATTCTTTCTGCCGAAGTCAATATATTCTTTTGTTTCATATAAATAGATCAAGAGGAATCCTGCTTTTTATTATAGTTTTGCAATGGATAAAATTTTCGACTCTCTTACTTTAAATCTTTTATGTATTCTTAAATCTTTTTCATATCCTACAACTCATCTCATGATTTACGGATTGAGTCGCCTTTAAGAGAACCAAAAATGATAATCTTTGGAAAAAATAATAAAAATTTATACAAATTGAGAGCATATGACGTAATCGGAAGAATAGAATCTACTCTAAGCAGTTACTCGTTCTGCTGAAAAAGAATTATCTTATGTATTTGCATGCCGGGACAATATGATATTCCGCTATTATTACCGGATACATCATTTATAAAAGTCTATACTTTTCTACTTTTCAATATTAGTTGCACTAAGCATTTTTGAGTGAAATACAGAACCCAATTTTTTCGAGCTTGCAACAAATTTTTCTGCTTCGGATTCAATCGGAAGTGGTGACCTGTTTTTCGGCTGCTCACTTTTCATTTCTTGGAAACTCTTTCGAAATCGTGCAAAGGCAACTTGCTTTGAAAAGTAAATTTAAGTTAAGGACAATTTGTTAAGTTTGCCCGCGACATCTATGAGTCACTATGACAATAGGCTTACTAGCTTGAAGGCCTAAGATGTGTTGGCTGGGAGCAGCTGCTTGAAACTTAACTAGTTATGGCCCGTTACCGATGACATTTCACAGTTATCCATTGTGTAGTTATTCACATAAATACATCCATATATCGAAGTAAACAAAGAAACAAATTTCGAAAACATATGCTATACTCAAATAAAAACGTTTTGCGAGGTTTTCCTTCATAATTTCCCAGTTGACAATCTCTTTTTAAGGCGATGAACTGCCATCATATGCCGATCCTTGCAACCCTGATATATTTCTTCCATCACTTTTAGATCCTAGTGGATCCGCTCTCTCTGTCTAACACAGTAATTTCGAAAAGTATCCGAAAATTTATCCAGATGTCTAACTTGATATTTTTCAAAATGGACTAGAAAATTTTCGACTATCAACACAAAACTTTTCCAAGCTTCAATTTCATTTTCCAATATGAAGAACATTAAATATTCCACCTCTCAACTTTTCTTTACTAAGTTTCCCGATTAGTTATACCGATTTCTGGAAATTTCGCAGTATCATTATTTCTGAGGGCATGCGAACTATACATATATGTACCGCACATGCCGACTATTAAAATTCAAACGGAATGATATAGGAACTCAAGTAAGAGCACTAACAAGCCACTATCTAATAGGCAGACATGCCAGTAGGCTAAGAAATCCATATAAGGACTATTGTAGAAGCTGTCATGAGGTAGAAAAGAAGTAGACCGTTAAACATCTTCTATTGCGAAAGAATCGCAATCATCCATCGAGGGGTTCTTGACGACATCTCGGAGATTGCGCAGCAAAAACTTGTCGTACTGATGAAGTTCATCAGAAGCACGGTATGATTCAGAGTGGAACCAATAGAGTGAAGGGACTTAAGTCCCTGCTAAAGGCCTAGACTTTCCGCAAAATTTTCCGCATAATTTCAGTCAAAAATATGAGAACGGGTGTCATGCGCTGTTTATATGCGAAAAAAGGGGCGCAGAACGCTAATTAACCGGAAAAATTATTGTTTTTACTAATTAGCCGATAATTGATCAAGATAAAAGAAATACAAATATCACAAAAACAAGAACACATTCAATGTTTTCATGTATAAATGCGTAATCTAAACACTAGAAACTATCAAAATTTGCTAAAATTTTCAACAAAAAAAAAAAGAATATTTTTTTGTTAATCTGTATAATTTGTGAGTCGTTTGCCCTCTTATTACTTTTCTATTCTCCAGTATTTTCACAAAAATGAAAACACTTTCAGGTAAAAACTTGCAACAGCTTGCCGACTAGAGATCCGCACTTATATGTGAGAAGTGTGGCCCAAACTTGCCAAAGTAACGTGCGCCGTTCTCAGTTTAGCTATTTTATTATATATGATATGTGTATATACCATTTATGCGCACGCGAAAAAAGTAATTTTTTTGAACTTTCTTTGTTAACTACATATGCAAATGCATAAATCTTCGTTTATTTGTATATTTATATGTTTATATATTTTATCAATAATTTGTCGAGTTAGTTGTATTGCGGAGGCAATAAGTAAAAGATGAGCGCTGTAAATAAGGGAATAATAGCCGTCAACCAGCCTATGCTAGATAACTAGTCAGTCACTTGCGCTCTCGAGCCATGAAGTCAACACTGTAATGTGCATACATAAGCGCCTGGCATACCTTATGTACATACGCATGTATGTATGTATGAATTTTCTTAAGTAGATCAGCTATAGAGGCAAATGATATGGTGTTTGAGTAAATGCTAAAACAATTTTAGTTGCTTAAGTGAAATCGGTCAAGGAATTGTGTGTGGCTGAAGTAAGAGTCTACAACAAGTGTTCGAAGAAACAGTAAACACGACGCCAAAACATTTTTTTTATAAAAAGAAAAATCAAAGAATAAATAAAATTGAAAAAAAAAATTAAAATAATACAACAAATAAACAAATTTTAAATAAGTACAAAAAAATAATTGAAAAATAAATAAGCAAACAAAAAATGCTAAATAAAAATTAGCATAAAAGTGGGTCATCACAATAGTTAACTGTTTGCCGTGAAAATCAATAATAACAAAAACAAAAACAATAATGTGAGATTAAAATCGGCAGTCGCTAAATTTTTTTAATCTTTTTCAATACGTGTCTAAAAAGCTTTTATAAAAAAAAAAAATTAATTAAAATAAAAAGTAAACAAATTTGAATTTAGCAACAAGTTATTACAAAAACAAAAACAAGCAAAAAATAAAATTACAAATAATAAGCAGATAAGTGGATTGGCACCATTTGTAACTGTTTGACATAGAAAGCAATAATAACAAAAACCAAAATAACAATAACAATAAGAGATTTAAATCAGCAGTTGTTACTAATTTTTGGCCCTTTTGCAAAATGTGAAAAATTAAAAAAAAAGAAGTAATAAATATTTTCTTCGAAAAATAAACAAAAAATAATTAATTATTAATTAAATAAGAAAAATATTACAAATTTATAAATTATTAATTAAATATCAATCAGCAGTTGTTACTAGCTTCTGCTCTTTTTTTCAATATGTGAAAATGAAAAAAGATGTAATAAATATTTCCTTCGAAAAGTAAACAAAATAAACAAAAAATAATTAATTATTATTAAATAAATAAGAAAAATATTACTAATTGATTAATTGTAAATTAAATTTAAAAAAATTATTATTAATTAAATAGTAAATTATTTTATTCTTTTGTAATATGGGAAAATTAATTATTTCTTTTGAGAAAAAAAAGAAATAATCATAAAATAATAATTATTTTTTAATTAAGAAAAACAACACTAATTAAATATGGTAGTTATTAATTAAATAAAAAAAAGTTTGCCAATTAAATAATTAGTAGTTTTTTTCTATTTTTGAAATATGTGAAAATTAAATATCCAAAAATATATAATACTAATATTTGAAAAAAAAATATACAATAACAAAAATATTCAATGATTTATACTTTCTTCGCAAGATTGCAATAAAGGCAGTGAACTTGAACATTACTGCACGGTGCGTTTTCTCTAATCCCTCCAATTCCACCACTTCCTCAATATTTTATGCAAATTTCTCGCAGCTCACTTCTAAAACATGCTCATCAATGCTCTCATTAACATACAAACTTACATACCAAAATACAAACATTACATATGATTCATATAATATACAAAAATACATACAAACATATGTCTAACCATTTTCACTTCAATTCGCTATACTTTTCGCTAATAAGCGTCACCGAGTCCTAAGCGTCTTTTCCTTTGAAAGTCGTTCTCTCTTAACCCTTCTGAACACCTCTATTAACCTGTGCGCACACTAAAAAAATTAAAAACGTGGCTATCTGTGCTTGAAAATACTGTTGACGTTTCTGTATATAGAGGAAGTGATTTGCATACGTCGACTGAGACACCCGCTTATCAGCTGTTAAGCAAGAATTAAGAATTTATACTAATTAATTTCTTATATAAAGAGTTTTTATTTTATTCTTCGTTTTTTCGTTTTAACTTTCCGGCCCCGTAATCTATTAACATGCATAGTGCGACATATTTATAGTGATGTGATGTATGTATGAATTATTTATTTAGCACATATGTATGTACGTACATATATATATACATGTATATAATTATTTATATTTTTTTTTTACTTGAAATCATGAATTACAAGTACGATTATATTTGTTAGACCTGCTTGGCACTAGGGTGAACTAATAGCCCCTTTACGGGCATACATACATACATACCTACACTCTCCAGCATGTTCGGGGCGTCGAAATTCGTTGCTACTTTAAAATTATTATTTTTTTTTTTGCCATTTGTTTGCCTAGGCGTCTGTCGGTATTTACCAATACAATCTACTGATCGGGGATTTCAACCAAAAATTGATTGCGTTCGGGTCGTCTCACACACGCGTTTCAATTTACGCCGCTTTTTGAAACAGTGTATATTTATATATATGTGCATATACATATATATTTAAAAAGTAATTTATAAAAATAAAAAAAGTTGTAATCCAAATCGAATTGAGGCAGAGCATATTTTTGTGCTTCGTGCATTTCTTTCGACGGCCTCTGGGCAGTATAAAATTGTGTGTATGGACAGACAGAAAGCATTCTATGGTGTGCAATCAATCCGTAGTGCTGGTTCTACTCTCGAGTATTGCTTAAACAAACGCAAGTTGATAAGCAAATTTAACGAAAGTGAAGTTCTAAAAATAAAAAATATCAAAGAAGAAAATAATTTTAATAAATAATTGTAATAAAAAAATTTTAAAATAAAACATTTTGTACTATATAAATAACTTAAAGAAATTTTAAAATTTAATAAAAAGAATTTAAATTTAATATTTTATCAAAATAAAAAATTTAACAAAAACCGCAGTTTTTTTGTTAAAATAATAATATAAATAAAATAAAAGTGTTCTAAAAATAATAAAAAAAAAATAAGTGTGGTGTAGTAGTAGACAAATTCAGTACATTTTTTATAAAAACTAAAACTTTATTAAAAAAAACTTATGTGTAAAAATATTAAAAAAATAAATCAAAGAACAAACAACACTTCAACAATACGCCATATTGGACATCTTAGCAGCAAACTGAACTTTAAAAACGAAGTAAGACATAATTTAACACATAAAAGTTTAACAAATGCTCCCACAAAGGATATTTTAACTGCATTTATTTCATAAATCTTAAAAATAAATTTAAAGATCAAAGTTTTACTTCAATAATTTATGCTGCTTGAGAGATACATAACTTCATTGCTTGGTAAAGAGTGAAAATTTGAAGCTGCACAATGTTTATAACTCTCTCACGTAAGTAAATATTGAAATTTAAAAACTTGTTTTCATAAATGTCATAAATCTTCAGTTTTTTTATAAAGATAATGTTATTCTAGTTTTTCTTTTTAAAGTTTATCAATTAATTAAAATTATTTTTATTATTATTTTTTATTAATGTTATAAGAGAAATATCGCAATTATAAATTATATATTATTTTTATAACAAAGAAATTAGTTAAACTAAATTATTTAATTAATTAATCATTAAAAAATCATCATTCTAATAAATTTGTTTAAGGACAAGTGCATACCTTATAAAATTCTGATAAATTTGTTTTTTTTTTTCAAACATAATTTTAAAAAAATTGGTTTGTTAAAGAAAAAATTATTGATAATATTGCATTTTTTTAACTACTTTTTAACAAAAATATGTGTTTAAATATTTTTTATGCATCAAGGACAGTATAAAAGTTTTTTAATTTTTATCACAGTTTTGTACATCAAAACAACAATTTATTTTACTGAAAAAAAATTGAAAGCATCTAAAGAAAATTATTTATAAAAATATGACTTAATGCTTTAATTTTATTTATACAATTTTTTATTTAAATGTACAATAATTATCAACAATGTTTTTAATTTAAAAACTACTAAAAACATTTTTTCCCATTATGTAATTTTAATAAAAATATATTAAATCTTTTTTTTGACTAATGAAAATATTGCATTAATTAATTTAATTTGAATACAATTTTTAATAAACAAATTCAAATATTAAACTTTCATTTTAATAGAATTCCTTTATTAAAATATAATATAATATAAATTAATTAAATTAAACCAATATTTGTTTGGCAGAAATTCAATTAGAAATATATTTAATAAGCGTCTCTATTTGAAAAATTATTATACACTTTTTCTTTAATTATTAACTTAAAATTGTTTACAACTTTATAATAGTGTGGCGAAAACTGCATATTTTGGAAAATTATTTAAACGAACTTAGTTTTTAAGTCCTTTGTCACAAATATACTGCTGAAAAAAATTTAACTATTAAAGAAAATCATTTATCAAATTTGAATCGGTTTTTGGAAACATTTGAAAATACTTTTTGATACACATACATATATTTATATGTTTATATTGTACATACCTCTCAAAAAATTTTTTTTTTTAATTTTTACTCCGATCCACAAATTGTAATATATGTATATCATTTAAATATTTTTATACTGTGAAAGTTTTCAAACATGTGGCAACGCTGATCAAAAGTATTTCCGATTTATACTTACATTTTATACCAAATTTATATTTTTGTTTATTATTATTAATATTCACAATTTACTTGAATAAAAAAATGTGAGCATCTCTACTGAAAAATATTCTTCCTTCTTAAACCTCTTTTGGTTTGGTATCTAAGATCTAATCATTTTTTCAGTTTATTAATATTAATGAATAAATAAGTTGGCAACTCTACAAAAAAAAATATTTTCTTTTACATATTTTTCAAACATCTTCAGCTTGTAGTGTTATATTTAATAATTTCAATTAAATGACAACAAAATCATGTTCTACGGCACAATTCATATACCCTGAACAGAGTGTATTAAGTTTGCCACGAAGTTTGTAACATACAGAAGCAAGCATCGTAGAACCTATTAAGTATATATTTATATGCAAAGGCTCAGCGTGACGATCTGTGTTGATGTAGCCATGTCCGTTTATCTAGCTGTATGTACATGAAATAGTCCCTCAGTTTTTGAGGCATCAATGTGAAATTTTGAACACTTCCTTTTCTATACAAGAAGCTGCTCATTTCTTGGAACCGTCGATATCAGACCAATATAGAATGTAGCTCACATAGAAACTGATCGATCAAAATCAAGTTCTTGCATGAAATTTTGTGTTTTTTTTTTTGTTTTAAAATTATCTTCACGAAATTTGACTTTGGATTATTATCCAAAACAGCGCTACCATCTTCGAACATATTGTTCAGATCGGACCACTATAGAATAAAGCTGCCATACAAACAGACCGATTACCATATAAACTGGCCGACATACATATGTATGAATAAAGAAAGAACTTTCGAATAAAATCCAAATGATTTAATTGCTGTGGCGTACGTGATTAAACAATGAGTCCAAGCTGCTGTTAAACATAACAGTACATAAATTAAGTACTACTAAGTGGCGTTATGTATGGGCTTATGCTAAAAAAACCTTCTACACAGAGATAACCAAAAATAAAATGAGTAGCACAAATATATATATTTATAACTGTATATGTATAAGTAGATTTAATGATCACTTAGTTAATGAAACAATTTACATTGCGCTGACTGATTAGCTCGATTTGGGGTGTTTAGCTAATCTGCTCGACTTCTTTCAATAAATTTTTAATAATAGAATTTATAGCATATTTAAATTGAATGTATGTATTTATATATGTTGGCAATAAATATATTCATACGAGAAAAAAAATCACAACAAACCAGTCTCTGGTGGTTAATTGCTTGTATGTACGCACAGTCCAGGCCTTGCTGGCTCGCATTCGTATGCTCCATTGTCATATGTGATAATACCTATGATAATTGTTGTTGAGGACTGATTTCATTTCACTGCTAAATGATCATTTTAATTCTATTTTTAATTATTTGTTTTGCAACACGTGGCTGTATTATACCAAACGTAATATTACACGGAAAGGAAAGAAATTAAATTTTCACAATTTAAAAAAACAAACGAGAAAAAACTTCGGCTTCAATGATGCACTTCTTATAGCATAAAACGGTATAAAAATATCTTTATTTTGATTTTTACCGGTCCATTTGTATGTCAGCTATACGCTATAGTGGTTCGATCATAATCATACGAGTATGTACAGATAATGTTGTGCTGGCTAGCACAATAATCTGAGCCAAATTTTTTTTATTTTATTATTTTGTCAAATAAAAATTTTTTCATGGAAGAACTTGACTATAGTCTATGCCAGATTTCCTGTGGTTGTCTTGTAAAAAAAAGTTTCCCTCACAATTACTTGAATTTGATCGATCAGTTTGTACGGCAGTTACATGCTATAGTAGTCCGATATCGGATATCGCTTTCGATAAATTAGCTGCTATTTGACGACAAAAGATCGTGTACAAAATTTCAGATCGATATCTCAAAAAAATATAGCCAAATATATAAAAAATTAAGCCAAATGCCATCTGTCTAGAAATGATGTAATAATTGCTATTTTAAGGCATACTCGTACATATATGCAGACAGCCAAATTCATTTTTTTACATACACACCTATGTATAAATAAAGATTTTATGAAGCTCGTGCGATCAATTGTGCGTATAAATTATTCAGAATGCATACAAATGAATTCCACAGAAATGTTAAAAATTAATATGTTTAGGTATAAAATATTCAAAACGATGATAGTGCAAAGATAATTAAACCTAATCTCAACAAACATTTGAAAAGCCATTAAATGTGTTTTCTTAATTTTTTTCAATTGAAAATTTCAAAACAGCTGCCAACCATTAATAACTATCTTTGTTCAAAATCTTTCTTAAAACTGTTTAATTTGTTACTCAGATTGTTGAATTTAATTTATTTTATCAATTCGATTAAAACAGGTGGCAACACTTATAAAACTATTTTTACTCTAAGCCTTACACATCCTTTGTTTTATACTCCTACTATAATATTTAATTTTATATTTGCAATAACATTAAAACGGGCAACTCTTACCAAAAATATTTTAATTTTAAGCCTTGAAAATCTATAGTTTTAATTCTTCTTGTACAAATTATGTTTTCTATGCAATTTTTTTGAATTGAAATTTTCAAAGAGATGCCAGACTTTCTCAAATTTTATTTAAATTCCAAATAAGTAAATTTCTAGTTAAACTAGCTACCTTTTTGTTAGACACGAAAATTTCTAAAATTGTAAAATATGGTACCCCAAACAAATCATGTCAGACCGAATATCAGATTTCTGATATTTTATCAGAATCAACAGCTGTTCAAGGATTGTTTAAAACATGGAATGAGAGTAATGAAAGCTACATATATATATACATACAAAAGTAACATCCATTAAAAAGGAGTATGCTTGATTTTTAACACAATATTTAATAGATTGAACTTGGAAACGTTTTGCAAAAAATCTATTGAAACATAATAATACACCAACTGATAAAATTTGGCAAGGACAAAACTTTATTATCGCCTTCCGAAAGTATGTCAACACTTAATCCAATTTTCCATACACTTGCCATAGGCTTGAGCTAGAATGGCCTTCATTTTTTCGGTCTTGGCTGGCTTTTTTAGCGCCATTCGCTAGATTGTTGGACAGCTTGGACGTCATATTCATAAGCGCACGTCTTGGCATCAGTAATGATGCGTTTGATGCATGGAAAGTCCTTAGCTACGTTGTCAAGCATCTCTTTTGCAACCACTACTCGACGTCGGATTTGCAAAAGATTCAGATTAGATTCGACACTCTTCATACCCAAAACTTTAACCAAAATCGTTGAGTTGATCCATAAAAGCTGTTGAGTTCCTTTGATATTTCTCTGCTGCCAACACAATTATTTGTAAGCGCTTTCTCATTACATTTTTCGATGTAATATCAAATATTTGTGTTGGTGATAAAGTAGACTCCCCAAAACACAGATAGATGAAGGCTTTACCAACCTAGAAAAAAAAACTTTTATCGATTCGGTTTGCCCGCGTAGTTTAAATAGACTAGTCCGAGTAAAATTTGAAATGAACAGCAGCAATCTGTTGTATATTTTGAGGAGCTTGTCGGATGATGAGGAAAGTAATATTAAAATCAAAGATGAGAATTAAGGAAGATATAAAATGATGATATAGACAATTTGAAGTTTGCAACTAAGCTATATATGATCGAAATTTGCTTATTACGCTTCGCTTATTGAATCACTATATTTTAGTTATAATTTAAAGCAACTACAAAAGTCCTTCTAAAATTTATTGAACTAAAAGCACTTTACAATAGACTAAATAAACTATT